CTACTAGTTGTAATTTGGAGCCATAAGGACCGAACATTATTTCGAGGAGGAGGAGAATGTTGAGGAATTTAAAGTCACATATAATTCTTTTTTTTAATCAGAATCTAAAGTTGGAATTTTCAAAAAAAAGGGAGGTGTTATATCCGAGTGGAGATTAAATTACAGGTAACTCCCGAGGACTATTAATGGACTAATATTCTATAAATATTCTAACTGTATAATTATTCAACAATTACATTACGTATATTTATATTCCTCTTATTATAAGCTTTATTTTGACCTATAATTTATTATTATACGATTTACGGTTCTTAATCTATGCTCAGTCTATTATTCACTGTCCCCCTCGTGCACAGCCACTTTTTGGCCTATTTGTGTACACATGTTATTTTCTAATTTATGGTGCGTTGTGGTCTGTCTGGTTGATATATAAACCGAGTATGTTTGAAATAAACGATCTGCTCTGATTTCGGAAGCTGGTATCTTGTTCTGGACTCAAGTGGAAGGGCTCGTAGGACATAGGACCAATAAGGACGCTAAACTGCCCACACCGGCTGAACGTCATTGGTTGGCTTAGTGTGGAGATTCGTATAAGTCGTATCCGGATTGGTCGATAGGTCGCGTGGTAGCAAAACAAGACATCCAAGGTCATAACAATTGGCGACGGGGATTTTGGCGACAAAGAAATAATAATACAAGTGGTGACTCAGATTTTGGAAATAAATTAGCTGTATAATTGCCGGTGATTTTTGGAGCTAATATTATTGGCAAAAAATTGTCGATTTCTTTCGAACAGTTGCGGTTAATATTACAGCACCAGCAGAAGATGTTTGCCTTGCAACAACAGCTATTTGTAACAGTTTTGGGCAGACTTTGCATTCAAGCAGAAAATAAGAAATCTATATATCATGCAGATAATGGTGCAGTAATGGACATTTCAGAAGCATATCCTGTGCAGGATTCAAATCCCTCTATACCAGAAGGAAAACGTAATATTGGTAACGTGTCCAGCTCAGAGCAAGAAAATATTGTGCTAAATGCACATGAAGTTGTGACAATACCAGATGATCAGAAGCCAGATCCTGTAGATGATGCTCAGAGTCCAGAATCAAATGAAACACTACTGGTACTGTCTAGCTGCGAAAATAAACGTCAGCTCGAACAAAATTGTGGTCCACGTGCTATTAGTCGAGAAAGCTATGGTGACTCGTATTCAGAAAATAACTGGAGCAACACGATGAACCAAATTGTACCAGATGTTACTCAAAATCACCGGAAGACAGAATTTTATATTGAGTCAACTTATCCCATTTCTAATGACAGTGTACCAGATATTGATTCTCAGAATAATGCATATGATTTTGATGAAACTTCTTATAACAATGAGGGAAATATGTCAGCTGAGTCGAATGATGGCCAAAAATCTAATTTAATTCTGTTAGACGTTGACTTTCTTAATGACTCGTTATCTGCTAACGAGATTCATAATGAATTTGAAAATAATGAACTCAGATCAAAGGTCGTTCATCATCATCTAGTCATTTTTAGTGGATTCTCCAGTCAATACGAGAAACATGGTTTAAATAAAGTCCTACTAGTTGTAATTTGGAGCCATAAGGACCGAACATTATTTCGAGGAGGAGGAGAATGTTGAGGAATTTAAAGTCACATATAATTCTTTTTTTTAATCAGAATCTAAAGTTGGAATTTTCAAAAAAAAAGGGAGGTGTTATATCCGAGTGGAGATTAAATTACAGGTAACTCCCGAGGACTATTAATGGACTAATATTCTATAAATATTCTAACTGTATAATTATTCAACAATTACATTACGTATATTTATATTCCTCTTATTATAAGCTTTATTTTGACCTATAATTTATTATTATACGATTTACGGTTCTTAATCTATGCTCAGTCTATTATTCACTGTCCCCCTCGTGCACAGCCACTTTTTGGCCTATTTGTGTACACATGTTATTTTCTAATTTATGGTGCGTTGTGGTCTGTCTGGTTGATATATAAACCGAGTATGTTTGAAATAAACGATCTGCTCTGATCTGCTCTGATTCGGAAGCTGGTATCTTGTTCTGGACTCAAGTGGAAGGGCTCGTAGGACATAGGACCAATAAGGACGCTAAACTGCCCACACCGGCTGAACGTCATTGGTTGGCTTAGTGTGGAGATTCGTATAAGTCGTATCCGGATTGGTCGATAGGTCGCGTGGTAGCAAAACAAGACATCCAAGATCATAACACTAGTTATGCGCCAACAAATTGTACGGGTGAACTTTAAATTTGTCTAGCTTGAAACCGTGCTTATCTAAGTGCTTTAGGGTACGGTTTTGGGGCCAGTGTTATTCCGCTTTTATGCAAATAACCTTCTTCGTCTCCTATAATCAGCGGTCTTTTTGTATGCTGACGATGTCATGATATGGAGAGCGATAAAAAAAGTATGGATGATAATTTAGAGCTTCAAAATGACCTGGAGTAGTCATCTCAGTAGTTCGAAATTTCGCACCCGTCAACAAATACATCCAAATGTATTGCGATGTATATCGGTCATCGGCGTACAGATGTATACACGATGGATAACAGTGAGTTGCCTGCCGTCCAGACACACAATGACGTAACTACTACTGTACACTGACGTGCAATTGCTGCCAAAGCTTTTGGAACCCAGTGGTCAACACGTAGGATTTTTGGCCATGCTGATGATAAATCCCCTCCTTATAAAGTATTCGTGCGTCCTAATCTCGAGTACTGCATATAAGCGGCTAGCCCATGTATAAAAAGAGACAGAGAGTTTTTGGAAAAGGTTCAAATAACTACAACCAAGCTGATTTCCGGCATAGAAAAGCTCCTGATGAAATCTGCAGCTGCAACTGCACAGGGCATCCAGACGCTGACTTAGTGTTCCACAAACTGAAGCATCTAATAAAGACGCTTCTCCTGGCCCAGATATAGTTCATTCTGCTATGCTGAAGGAAGCAGCCTCAATCCTGGCAACACCGCTTAGCGTGATGTTCTCACACTCGCTAACTTCCGGAAAATTGGAAGCTGGCCCACATCACACCAATTTTCAAAGGACGTTGACGCAGCGAAACTTCAAGTTACCGACCGGTGGCTCTTCTCTTTATACCTTCAAAAATCATGGAATCCCTGATATGCAATGGTATACATGACTTTTAACTGTCCTTGAATTTCTTCTCACCCCAACAGCATGATTTCAGGGAGGGTTACTCTTGTGTAACTAACTTGCTAACTGCGGTGGACAGATGTATAAGCATCCTTGATCGCAAGGAGAAGGTTGGTATCATTTACCATGTATTTTCAAAAGCCTTTGATAGAGTCAACCATATATGTCTTATCAATAAGCTCAAACAATTGGTATCAAATCACCCCTAATTGACTGGCTGACTTCATATCTAAAAAATCGACATTTTAAGGTTAAAGGGTTAACATCACTTTCTCTCAGGCAGTGGAATGTCCTGGTGTAGCCCTCCAGGGTTCAATAATAGTACCTCTTCTTTTCTTGACTTGTATAAACGATCTTCCATAGCAGTTATCGTCTGACTTATCACTTTTTACTGATTCTGTGAAACTTTGGGAGGGATACTCAACCAAGACGATGTAAAGGCACTTCAGGAGGATCTGACTCGACTTCAAAGTTGGGCAGACGACAATGGACTTACCTCTAACACTTCAAAGTGTAAAGTAGTCCATCCGAGAAATGTTACAGAATACAGTCACAACTTGTAAACTCCTCTCTAGAAGTGTCGCGAGTTAAAAAAGATATAGGAGTCCTGGTGCCCTACGATCCGAAGCTTTGTGCTAACCGTGACAAAAATACCTTCCGAGCAAACCTTGCACTGGTAACATCGGGGCGCATTTCTGGCCACTTTGACAGAATAACATTCCACATAATCTCCAACAGTTTCATTCGTCCCCACTTAGAGTACGGAAACATAGTATTTCCTCCCTCACTCCAAAAGGATAAGAACACTCCGGAACGTATCCATCGATGAGCCGAGAAATCAGTTCGAGTACTCAAATTCAAGCCTTATGAAGAGCGCCTCCAATCACTTAGCTTTTACCCATTGGAGTACAGGCGTCTTATAGTTGGCTTTCTGATGGCTTACAATATCCTTAACACTTCTAGACGTTCCCTTAAATACCCTCTTAAGTTTAGTTCCAACACAAACCCAAGGTATAACACCCTGAAACACAGCAGAACGGACTGTCGACAAAGCTTACACTCCTTAAGAGTTTTCAAATGTCAGAATTCACTGCTGGCTGAACTAGTCCAAGTGACTTCCCAGCAGTTCTTTAAGAGGAAACTTGACCCATTCTTAAGGACTAAGGATAACCTCTTACTATAAGTTACCAATATCCTTTTTTTCCCAATCTCTTATAGTTAATATACCTAAGTCCCTGCCTGGAGGTATTGATGATCCCTTGCTAGTACACAAGGAAGACTGTTAAGCGAAAGCTTTTTCTATTCCTTCCGCAACCATTTGAACCATTTGGCCAAACTAGACCTATTTCCACTATCAATCGAAGAACTATAGGCGACTTGATCACAGTCTTTAAATTAGTTAGTGATAAATTCACATCTGATAAGCCCTAATTTTTCTTGTCTTCCAAAACGGAAAACTTACGAGGACACTCCAAAGGGTTCACAAGCCCAGGACAAATTACTTGTCAGCTGACTATCGACTTTCCCATCGCACTATCAATGAACGGAGTTCATTACCTCAGCACATAATTGAGGCTCAATCTGTTGACGCTTTCAAAAGAAAGTTGTACCAGCTGAGAGACTATCAATGCCAGGAATAACACAGGCCACCTAGCGTCCTGTCCTTTCCAGAAGGAAACTAACCTGTTATCCCTAACACATAAAACTGATGCTAGGGACTTTCCAAAATCTTAGATCTCACAGGTCCATAGCTTATTGTGCAGAATAAATAGCTACATAAGTTAAATATATGACAGAATGTTCATGTTTTTAGTTTTTTTTATGAGTACATTAAAATGTACATAATCTTTGTCAATTGTACAAATGGATTATCGTTCCTCTTACCCCCAAACACACAGGCGGGTGTTTTAGGATACTTTTCCGTTGTTGCTTTAGGGTCAAGTATTCGTTACATTTCTGACGTTTGTGATGTACATCTTGTTCTAGAAATGTCAACCCCAGCACAAAGACGGCTTCTTCGTGATTTGAAACGCCTACAGTCTGACCCACCTCCTGGTATTTGTGGTTCTCCTGTTGAAGACAATGTTATGATTTGGAATGCCGTTATCTTTGGACCAGACGATACTGCTTTTGAAGATGGAACATTCAAGCTTCGTTTAGAATTCACAGAAGATTATCCTAATAAGCCTCCAAGAGTTGTATTCACGTCCAAAATGTTTCATCCGAACGTGTATGCTGATGGTAGCATATGTCTAGACATTCTTTCCAATGCTTGGAGTCCCACTTATGATGTACTAGCCATATTAACATCTATTCAGTCTCTTTTGGATGAGCCGAATCCTAACTCTCCAGCTAACAGTATGGCAGCTCAACTTTATGTGGAAAATAGACGCGAATATGAGAAACGCGTTCGTGCTTGTGTTGAGGAAAGCTGGTACGAAGAAGATGTGTGAAGTTAAAGGTTGAATAGTAATGACCACAGTAACTCGTTCTTGTACATAACTATTTTTTTGTACAATTTTAACTGGCATTTAGTCTCGCGTTTCCATAATTTCATTTCTTGTGGTTGGATGCGCCTTGAGAAACTTATTATTTCACTTAAATGTAATTTCCTTGCCTGTGATTTAGAGACTCATCCGCTTGTGTTAAAGTCGAGTCAATAAAATTTGTTCAGCATACCGTTCTCTCTTAGTCAATGTATGTCTGTCGTAACATTAAGTCACTTAAGCTGTTTTGGAGCAAATTGCTTTGAGATTCTTGTTCATAAGCTATGACCTTTCCTTATTTTGTTTGTGTAACGGCCGTTTGGTGTAAGATGATTGTTACTGTAGTCCTCTGACATCCTCTTGGAGTTTAAGTGTAATGTGTCGATTTTTATTTTGGTTTGCTCTTTAATGTTTGTCCGGACGGTTTCCGAATTGGCACTGACTCTTCAAAGACTAGGCTTTCTTTATTTCCTAGTATCTGAAGTATCCATGCCTAATGCGTGACAGTGTTTTTTCTTGTTATTGATTTAAGGTTTAGAGGTTTTTGATAAGATGACTAGAAGAGAATTATATAGTTAAGTGACTTGTCATTCTTATGTAAGTTTTGTTAATCTTTGGTTGCACGGGAATATCGAGTAATAGGTGCTGTCCACTTACTACTTTTCTGCTGTTATTTGCCTATTTAACCACCCCTTTTTAAATGCCATGGGACAATGCCTAGTAGTGTTTGAATGTTTTATGTAGACTAAATTAACTGGGTCCAGTCTCTCATTGTGTTTCTCATATGATCTCGGGTGGCATTAGAGGTACAGGGGGGCTTGTCGTTTTCCGGCTGCCTACACTGTAGGAGAATACTTTCTGAGGAATCTGAGAAAGAAGCGTTATTGTTAGTGGTCTTGGGGATTCGGGAGCGTGACGCAAGAAACAACTGCTCGAGGCTGGCTACATACACTCAAATCATATTTTCTTTAATTGACTTACATCTTGTTACTAAACACAAAGTTTTGTTGTCTGTCGTATCCATTCTCATTTTTAAGTGCTTTTATTTCTAGGAACCATACTAATTATTTCACCTTTGATGTTTACTGAGTGCTTGAAATATTCACACCACTCTTGGTTTGTCTGTAAGCAGAAATCTAATGCTTGTTCTCTTAATGTTAAACTCTTCGTGCTAGTTCATCCCACTAAAATAAGAGCTTTGAAACCGGGATTCTTTTCACATCAAAGTATATCCTATCCTACCTCTCAGTCATCTCAAAGCATTCCCTTGTTTTTTTTATGATGTGCAGACTACAGCAAACATCTTGGTGATAACAGTCCTAAGCATGTCACTCTCGTTCCGTACATCAGTCATTGGACTGTAAATGTGATGAATGTCATTTGTGACATATCTGACTTAAAGTTTACCAAGTCTTAGGGTTTCCAACCACAGTTACTAAGAACGAATGATAGAAATAAGAAAGATAGCTGAGTCTACTTCATTCGGCTCCTCTTTTCTATCTCCGTTTTTATGAAAGAGTCATCACTCTACCATCTTGTTACAACTATAACTCAATGGGTTCACTAGATAGGAAATCACACTAAGTTCTAAGCAAGTTTGAACGACATGTGTGTCTACGTGTTGCTGTTGTTACGTGCGTGAAATTTGTGGATGTAACAGCTCACTATCCTTCATCAGACTTACAGGGGCCTATAAAGATTAATTGCTCTAGTCTATTCCTTAGGCAATAGTTGTCAGTGCTAGTTTGTTAATTGACCAGGTGTTAAATTTTAAGTACTATGCAGTCAAAGCCTCTGTCTGTATTCACCATATCATTCAGCAATGCAGGAAATAAGTCGTGTAAGAAAGGTGACCATATAAAGTAATCGGAGTAGGTTTTATTTCATTTTTATATCGGTTGTTTGAATCTTCATACTGACGTTTAAGATTGCAATCGGTCAGTCTCTTATTGGTATGTGTTCTTCCTTTGCAAATGAAATGAACTAAAATTCATCTCATTGCACCAGCTAGTGGTTATCTGGGACTGGTTAGTGAGACTATCATCGATGGCATACTCCTTTTGTTCAATTTTCAGACAGGTTGTTATAGCCATGAAGGGACACACTTCAGCTGATCTATGATTCCTCTGTTAAGTCAGTCTGTTATTAATATTATTCTCACTGTCTTTCAACCCTAAACTTCCAAGCAATGTAGACGAAAGACAGAACACTAATGGTGTACTACTTGAGTCATGTGTCGAAGATCCTCGGTCTTATTCTCAAACAAGGGGATATAAAGTTATCATCCCAACGGTAACCATGTAGATGGCTTTCAGTTTCGGATTTTAGGGATTACTACTAGCTTTCATATTTTAGACTGAATCCTAAGCCGATTACACAAGTCCTAGTTAACTGAATCTAACTAAAATCGAATCGTTTGGTTTAGTTGAAAATGTATGAATGTAAAGTACATGGTTAGGTTTGTTGTCAACACATATGCTCAGTTAGTAGTTGAACAACAAACGGTGCTTTTGTTTCAGGTAGTAAATCGGACTTATTTCGGCCTGAATAGCACCTGGATATTATTAATGAAAGGTAGTGTTATAATTCTCTCTTATTACAACCCAGCTATTCCTATTAGTTAGTATTCTTGGACACCAGTTCACTCGACAAGTCCCCAAGTCAGAACACGGTTGAACAGGAAGGAGATTATATTCCAAATAACAAGGTTAGATGGATGTAAGAAGCACAACAAGAAAAAAACGTTAGTATATTTATAGTTTTTAGAGTGTTTTCTAAGTACCGACTAGCGCTGATTGGATAAGAATTAGCCAATCGGCATGCGACAACGCAATCGTGCATAGAGCATGCTGTGGTCAAATCTATGTCCCGCTAACAGGTAGATTGTTGCTGATTTACATTGGTCAGAAGTGACCTATAAAGCTGCAGTCGTAAACTTTGATTGGAGCCTCACGATGTTAATGGATCCAGTTTTTTTAATCGAGAATTCAGAATCTTATTTATTTCCGTTCCATTTGTTTTTTTTTTTCAACTTCTTGAGTTGATTTTCTGTGTCTCTAAAGATGTATGGTTCACCTATCAAAATTGTTTCATGTACAGTAATACTTAAGATTTATGAAATAGTTAACCAAAATAACATCAAATTTAACTCAGTTTGGCATCAGTCTGTATAGAAGTGTGCGCTTAAATAAAAATTCTCATGTTCTGTAGATGTTTTTTGTTGAAAGGTTTATTTTTTGTTACTTAAATTATTTGTAATTTTACTTGGTATGTTTTTAAAAAAATTAGTAGTCCGCAGCTAATTGCTTTCATGTATGGCCAGTTGGTAGCGTGATTATTTTTTTGTTAAAACGCCTGACTGTTCAGAGACTGAGTGATCAATGTTGAAGTTAGGTTTAAAAACTGTTCAAAAATAGTAAATCCATTAGTGTTTTGGGATTTTATCAACTAAGGTGGTTGCGACATTCTCTTTGTACTCCCAATTACCACCTACCTTGACGTCCTCTGTCAGGTAGAGTAGGAGGAGGCTGGAAAAAAATCTAGGGACGACCAAATCAATGCGTACAATCAGCTTGTGAAATCTCTAACTGTTGATGTGAGCTATGTTATTAGTTTTAAACTACCTAGTTGGAGTCCTCATGACCAGTGATTGGAGGCGCTCAGTGCTAACTCGGAATTGTTCACGACGGTAAAGATGTGTTCACTTTTTATTTTCCTTTCGACATTGAATTCCAATATCCATTCATACATACTTTTCTACTCAGTCTATTAAAATTATATTCCCAATAGTTAGTCTTTCTCATTATTCATTAAGTTTACCATTGAATTCTCAAACTATGTACCTAAACTTGTACTTAATTAATGAGTTGTATTAATTGGTCGGTAACTGGATCGATTCAAAATCAATTTATTTGTTATTTCATATTAGTATATAGTTATAGTTGAACTATATTTAATTAATCATTTTATAGGCGTATGGATAATGCTCATTCTTTATCTTATGTTTCATTCACTCCCTTCAAGTGTACTTGTGTGCATTTGTTTTTTCATTCTAAAGAAGAAAAAACGAACAAAATAATTTTATATGTTTGAATACAATTATATTTTTGTTTCAGAATTAACTAAGACGTTTTTTGTCTTAATGAAGTACATTCTAATTTTTTTTTTGTAAGAAAATTATCAATATGATAACAATTTAATTGATCTGTTAGTAATAAGGAAAAAATATATAACGGTTTCTAATGATTTAACATGATTATATATATTTACATAGTCAGTCAGCTACAGCGTAGGACCAGGCACATATGTGCATCGGTCCAAGTTGCCATACCTCTTTAACACAACAAGATGGACACCGGATTCATAAAAGTAGTTAATTCAGAGGTGTAATATATAAAAGAAAGATTGTAATAAGGATATAGTACAGGAAGAAAGAATTAGTTTATACTCTTAGTTATGTAAATCACTTGAAGATTCTACTTTACAATTTATTTAATTTATTTAAACATATAAACATTGATACAAGGAGGCACCAAATAGATATGCGCCATATAAATCATTCGATTTGTGTGAGGGCTGGGATATTGCCCGGGTGCCCAAACTGAACCAGGTGGTTTTCTTAGGGGATCACACCCGAAGCTTTCAAACTAAAGGTCCGATCCACAAGGCAAAGCAAGGAGATGCAGTTCCATGGTAGCCGGTGATCAGTAATTGATTCATACGCCATTCGTTCTCTCAGGCTTCTGGATCCTATGTGGAGCATTGGTTTGGAATCAGGGTTTTCCAATTCCCCTAGGTGGACTCTCCGTGTCCATCAACCCCGTTAAAGCGCCGGACATTCGCTTTCCATACTCTCAATGTCGTAAACACTGTGGCCATGAAAAGGCAGTGATTAGGACTTCCCTGGTAAAGGCTATATACGCGTGGCCATCTGAGAGCATTTGGAGGGGGAGAGCTAACTCTCCCCACTCTCGGCCGTAACAGGGCATTTGGAGGCTCTACTTCATAAATGGATGATTGTTACCGTCACATCGATTTATTAGTTTGAATTATTTTTGATATAAGTGTTAATTTGCATTTTTTTGATTGAGATCATGAACCGATTGATGTTAGACACCATTGAAAACCTGAAAGCATTGAACGGCCGTTTCACCCTATTGTGGGACTCGTCAGCAGTGCGCATCCACGAT